GACTGCTAACCAGAAGGCTGGCGGTTCAAACCCACCAGCCACTCCTCAGAAGGAAGATGGGGCAATCTACTTCTGTAGTGATACTGCCTCAGAAACCCCAGGAGGGGTCGCTATGAGTCAGGTCCGACTCGACGGCACATAACAACAACAACATATGTTCATAGCCACTATTTCCTCCCCTCAAACATTTCAATTCTCAATATCTTAAACCTTTCCTTATTTGGCATGGGTCACAAACCCCTACCATAGTATCTTGTTTTTTCACCACTGAATGCATTGCAGTTAGTGGGTAATCTTTCAATATTCATGTCCCCAGAGCAGATGCAGCACTTCACTTCAGGCCTAATCAAACTAGAGTCAAGTAGATGCACCATACTCTAGTTCTTGGTGTTATGGTTTCATGTACACAGTCTATAATAACCCTAGAATTTCCACTACCAAATGAAACTGCTAACTTACCTAAGGTTTCAAAACTTTTATTACCACTCATTCATCCTCTTTTATTGCTGGGTTTATGGACCCAAGTAAGTACCTTACATTACCTTATAGCTATGTCTCCTGTGCTTTTCCTTTCCTCCTTCTTCAGCAGGTCTCAGATGATGGACCTCAGGAATGGAAGCAGAGTGACATATTTCATCCTTGTGGGCTTTGAACAGAGCTACCCTTCCACTAAGGCATTGCTCTTCACCCTCTTCCTAGCCCTCTACAGCCTGGCCATGGCCATGAATGGCCTCATCATCTTCATCACCTGGACAGACCCCAGGCTCAACAGCCCCATGTACTTCTTCCTTGGACACTTGTCCTTCCTGGATGTCTGTTTCATCACCACCACCATCCCACAGATGCTGATCCACTTGGTGGTCAAGAACCACACTGTCTCCTTCACCTCTTGCATGACCCAGATGTACCTAGTCTTCTCTGTGGGTGTGGCTGAGTGCATCCTCTTGGCTTTTATGGCTTATGACCGTTATGTTGCTATCTGCCACCCACTTAACTATGCCCAGGTCATGAGCAGACAGGTGTGTGTGAGACTGGTGGGTACTGCCTGGTTCTTTGGGCTGATCAATGGTATCTTTCTTGAATATATGTCTATCCAGAATCCCTTCTGCAGAGACAACCATATAGAAAACTTCTTCTGTGAAGCCCCCATAGTGATCGCTCTCACCTGTGGGGACCCCCAGTTCAGCATGAAGGTTATCTTTGCCGATGCCGTTGTGGTGCTGCTCAGCCCCATGGTGCTCATTGTCATCTCCTATGCCCACATCCTGGCCTCTATCCTTGGCAGAGCCTCCTCTTCAGGTTGGGGGAAGACCTTCTCCACTTGTGCCTCCCACCTGACTGTGGTCATCTTCTTCTATTCCTCAGGCATGTTCTCTTACATGAACTCCCGCAGCACACATGGGCCTGACAAGGACAAGCCATTCTCCCTCCTCTACACCGTCATCACCCCCATGTGCAACCCCATCATCTACAGTTTCCGCAACAAGGAAATGAAGGGGGCCATGGTGAGAGCCCTGGGGAGGACTAGGCTGTCATAGGCAGGCTAGTCTAGCAGGAAGGGTCCTGGAGGGGGAACTTCTCCTATAAGATGTGATCAGCCTTAGCAAGTGGATAACTCTCCAGAGCAGAAAATCTCCAAGCAAGAGCATTCATGGCTTCCTTTGTTGTAGCATCAGACAAGAAAGTGCCTTTTGATGTCTAATGCTCATCTTTATGACTTCAAGCATAGATTGAGCTTTCCAACCTTCTATTAACAATGCATTTTCATAAGTAGAGTGACTAGTATAATTAAATGGGGAATTTTATTCCAGAAGTTGGACAAAGGAAAACTGCTTCTCAAGAAACGCCATTGATAAGGACGACCAGATCATTTTTTCTAGAGGATTGCTTTCCAGGATTAAACTGGGAGCTTTGGGTTGGGGAAAAGAGCAAACTGAGAGCCAGAAGGGAACAAAGAGATGCACAGAAGTCAAGACAAGACTAGGGGCTAGAGAATATGCTATAAGGTATGTGCTATCATCCCTCTATGGTGCTCCCAATTTCGCCAAAAAAGCTCCCAAAAACAGTAAGGGGAGGAATTGTGTGCCAAATAATGTGTGCATTAATGGGAAAGATGGAGGACAGAAGAAAGTATAAAAAGAGCACTAACTTTTCAAGACTGTAAATTGGAGGTGGGAGCAACAACAAAATTTCCCAGGGTCAGGGAAGCTTCAAGTGACTTCTGCATTATACAAGAATATGACAAGAGCACTTTATATTATTTGCATCCACTTGAATGTTTTATCACTAGCCTAGATGCATGTTTTGCAATTTAAATATATCATACATGTATATGGAGATTCCTTCCTGTCTCTTGTTTTGTTTACAATACATTCACATTCCCTGAGACTCTCTACTTACATGCCTAACTCTCTCCCCTACCTCTGTTCCTTTACTTATTATCTAGAGCAGTGGTTCTCAACAGGGGATGATTTTGCCTCCAAGGGTTATTTGACAAACCAAACCAAAAAACCGATTCGATTTATAGCGAGCCCTCCTTGGGTTTCTAAGGCGGTATCTCTATGGAAGTAGACTGCCCAATCTCCCTTCTGAGGAGTGGCTGGTGGGATTGAACTGCCAGCCTTCTGGTTAACAGTCAAATACCTTAGGCACCACGCCACCAGGGCTCCGTATTTGGCAAAGTCTGAAGAAATTTTTGATTGTCATATTTTAGGGAGTGAGTATGCTACTGGCTTCTAGTGGGTAGAGGCCAAGGATGCAGCTACAATGCACAGGACATCCTTCAATGCACAGGGCAATTCCCCACAACAAAGAATTACTTGACCCAAAATGTCAGTAACACAGAGTTTGAGAAACCCTAGTCTAGGAAAAGAAGTATGCAAAGAGCAGAAACCTGCGTTATCAGTGAAGGCATACATGTGTATACAGGTGGATAGATGGGTGGACAGATGGGTGGACAGGCTGAACTAGTAGGTATGTCTATGAAGCAGGGAGTGTACCCAAGAACATGTATAGGGTTGGCAGACAATGGTCCTATAACTTCATGTGTATGATCTGAATTCCCAGGTGTATAGTAGAGCTGACAAGAGGCAAGGTGGTAGTCACTGCTTGGTCACAGCCAACTACCCAGAGGGACCAAGTAGTTGAACCTGTAGGCTCGGGACCATACTCACAGGGGACATCAAGCTCAATTGGCATAACACACTACACAAAACATTGTTCCACCTCCTACTTTGGTGAATAGTGACTGGGATCTTAAAAGCTTGCAAGCTGCCATCTACGTGCAGCGATGGGTCTCTCCTCATCCAGAGCAAAGAAGAATGAAGAAAACCAAAATTCATGGATACAATCAGTCCTAGCAAATGATACACCATCCAATCTGCAGCCTACATGACTTTGAGACCAGAAGAACTAGATGGTGCCCGGCTACCAATGACAACCACTTGGAAGGGGACCTATGTAGGAGATCCTGGATAGAGAGGGAGAACAATGTGGACAAAACTCAAAATCGTTTGGAGCAAGGTTTGCTAGTCCAATAGAGCCTGGTGGAACCACTGAGACTATGGCCCCTAGCTGCCCTTCAGGTCTGGAATTGAACCCACACCTGTGGTTTCCAGCCAAACAAAAGACAGGCATATGAGTTGAACATTTACCTGAGGTAGATACACTCCTTGGAGAGAACAATCATGGGAGAAAGAAGGGCTGCTTATGCACAGGGAGACAGCTCAGGGGGCAGGAAGGCATGGAGGAATGGACACAGGGAAGAGGTAACTTTTGGGAGGAAGTGGGAGGGGAGCTGTTGCATTGTGGTAAATTGTGGTCAATGTCATGAGACAAAGTATATGTGAACTGCTGTATGGAGAATGAATTTGCTCTGTAAATCTTCACCCAAATCACAATTAAAAAAAAAAAAAAAAGCAGAAACAGGAAAATGACAAGAGGTATTAATATGGGTAGAAAAGAGACAGAAACAAACCAAGAAGTAAATCGACTGCAGAATTCCCTCTGGAAAGCCACATCTTCAGATTACTTGTGGGCAGGATTTCGGTTGGCACACTGTTCTATTTAAGTAGTTATGATAAAACTTCTCTAAAATTCCTGTGTTTCTGTTTGTCTGATGTTGTTGTAGTTATGTGCCATCAAGTCGGCCCCGACTCATAGTGACCCCTCCTTGGGTTTCCAAGGCAGAGGGCTCCCTATGTATGAGTCAGGGCCAACTTGGCAGCACATAATAACAACAACAATAATCACTACGGAAGTAGATTGCCCAACCTTCCTTCCGAGGAGTGGCTGGCTGATGAGTTTGAACTGCCAGCCTTCTGGTTAGCAGTCAAGTGCCTTAGGCACTATGCTACCAGAGCTCCTATTTGTCTGATCCTACACCAATAATAAATCCTACACCAATAATTAGTAGAACTTTTCCTGTCCAGCTATGTCCTTCCCTCTGACACTTGCATGGACTCCTACTTACATTCTGCCCTTTACCTCTATTAGTTCAGACAGAACTTCATCCACCTAGCAGTCATCCTTCCCTTGTCTCACTAATTTGACATCCCAGTCTGACTCAGTCCCACCTCTCTTCACCCCTTCTCTTCTGCAGAGGGTCATTTCCAAATGTCATTCTGTGTGTACCTTATAGTAATCCTGTGCCCTTGTAGGGAAATATGCCCTAGAATTTCTACATTGTTTCTCATTCACTTTACCAATCTCATTCGTTTACCAATATCTAACTTTCTTCCAGAGAAAATTAAAGTTACCCTCTCATAAATATATGAATAATTTTAATAAAATAATGTCCTATTAAACACCAATAAAATATAGAGTTTAACATATACATACAGTTAAAATATAAAACAATAGTACAACTGATAAGAAGGGTAAATAAAGTTAGAATATTCTAATATCATATCATTGTCCAGGAAAATGTGAAAGTACTAATTTATATTAAACTCTGATAAGTCAAGATTTCCTTGTGTAATTTCTAGAGTAAGCCCTAAATTAATTGTAAAATATAACCATCAAGATACGGGGGCTGGGGTAGAAAGTAGAATAATAAAAAATAATCCATAGCAAAAAGGCACCATAGAACAGGAAGGACAGTTAGAAAACAAATTACAAGTTGGAAGATTTAAAGTAAAACATATTAGTAATTGTGAGAAATGCAAATGTAGTTATTGTTCTTGGGTGTTCTGTCACAGAGACCTCCTGTGACAGAGTAGAAGTGCCCCATAGGGTTCTCTAGATTGTAATCTTTATGGAAGCAGTTCACCAGATCTGTCTCCCTAGGAGCTACTGGGTGGGTTTGAACTGCCAACTTTTTGGTTAGCAGTAGAACACTTAGCCTTTGTGCCAGCAAAAATCCTTAGAAATGTACTAGGCTCCAGTTAAAAGATAACAATAACAACAATTATATGTTGCTTATAAGCAGGGATGGGACTGGAGTGAGACAATCAAGGCACTTTGGGTATGAAATTTGAGGAGGTGCTCATTCTCTGGTTAATACAACTGCTAACCCTAAATCTGGCCTACTTATATAAGAGACACATATAAAATATATGAATGCAAAATGGTTCCAAATAAAAATATGAGAAAATACACCATGCAGACACTAACCAAAAGAAAGCTAATGTGACTAAATTAATACTAGAGAAAGTAAGTTTTTAGATTAAAAAAAAAATACACTAGAGATAAAGAGGTACACTGCATAATGATTTAAAAAAAAAAAAAGTCAGTGCAAGTAGAAGATACAGTAATCCAAAATGTATTTGCACCAATAATAGGGCTCAAAAATACGTAGACAAAAATTTGACAGAAGAAGAAATAGACAAATCCATGATGATAGTGGGACATGTGAGCATACCTTCCTTGGTAACTAACAGAATGAGCAAAGAATCATTAAGGATATAGATTATTTGGACCAAATTATTAGCAAAATTAACATAAATGTAGAACACTGTGTCCAACAAATGGAGTTACACATTCTATTCCAGGTCTCACAGAGCATTTACAAGAGTAGACTATGTGTTGAGTCATAAAACAAGTCTCAACAAATTTTAAATTATTGGAATAATACAGATTAAACTTTCTTACCATGTTAGAATTAAGCTAGAAATCAATAAAGAATCAATCATCTTAACACTAGAAAATCTCCAAATGTATGGAAATTAAGAAATGCCCTCCTGATGTAGCACAAGTCACAATGGAAAATTTAAAATATTTCAACAGAATAATAGTGATAAACAGGACATCACAAAACCCTTGGGTTGCACTTAAAAATGGATTAGAGAAAATGTGTAGACTTAAGTGGATATATTAAAAATGAAAAAGGGCTGAAAATGCTAAGCATATAGCTCAAGAAAATAAAAAATAAATTATATCCAAAGAAAATAGAACATAGAAAATCATAAACAAAAGAACAAAAATAAATGAAATAGAGAAAAAAATATACAGTGGAGTAGGAAAAAATGGCATTTTAAAAATAGTAACAAAATTGATATCCCCAGGTAAGAAGTAAGACTTTTCTGGGGGGACAAAAAAA